ATATTGACACACATACGTGTGGATGCAGATTTTTGTCAGCATGAATTTTTAAAATTATCCAGAAGTCCTTTTCTGAATCCCTTATTTGACATCCGCACTCTGCCCAGACCCAAACCAGAGAAGGCTCGGTTTTGGCCTCCCAGTTTGTGCTTTCGTGTCTGCATAAAAAGTCAGCACGCGGTGGTGAAGGGGCGTTTATTTTTACTGTAATTGGTAACAGTTTACTGAAGGTGATGCTCGGGGGCCTTCCGGTGGATGAGAAATCGACTTCCAGCAACTCGGTACTTCAAAGACTTATGATGGCACCAGTCAACAGAAAAACACCACTCAGGCCGATCACCCGGTTGAGACTGTCTGTTCTTCTGGGAAAATAGAAGCTTGAGATACAATGTCCGTATCAGCCTCATCTCAGAATTCATAAGTAATTTATAGAAGACATCAATTTATTTATAGGGTAGGTGGCCAAGAGATTTCCGGGTGTTTACCAGTAACATGGTCCTGGAAACTCCATCCTATTGAAATGACTCCTGTTCTTGGCAGGAATAACTTGTGCTAGGGTTGTATCCACACCCTTTTAAAAACATACCGCTGGTTTTGCCAAACTAATGTGAAAACTGAAATGAGGACTCTTTAGAGACGAGTATGAACAGAGACCAGGTTTTCCCCGGGGGTAAGCACATGTGGTAGAAACTGGTGAACCCAAATCTGTGTCGTTTGATGACTAAACTCGTTTTAGGCTACAAAGGCATTGTTTCAATTTCCCTCTGTGTGCTTCTTAATTCAGACCAAATTTTATCTTATAAGTAGAAGAAGTAGCTCCAAATAATTTCATGCCCCGCCAATGACATGGGCACCGATTTTTAACCAAAAGCTCATAAACTCTTTTTACGATACTGTAAAACTGGAGCGCTCATGCCCATTAAAACATAAGCTTCGTGTTACATGTAATTAAGACAAAGAGGAGAAAGTTAAAAATGTAAGTTTTAAAATGTATCTTGTATTACATATTAAATGCACGTGGAAAATACTTCATACGTTCCATTTCAAAGGCAAAGGTAAGGACAAACAGGAGGGCGAATGATCCCATGGGTGCAAACAAAATGAAGTGAAAAACGGGTTGTTATTTCAAGTTCTCCAGAGGATATGCTATATTGGTGGTTAGAGGTCATTTGCTCTTCTTCCTGATTATAAATAAGAAGGTACCATTAAAAGCACATTCAGCTGCTATTTAGTTAATCTAAGTTATAATTTTGGGTCCAATAAAGTTTGAAAATTATTATTTTTTTTCCCCCAGGGATGAGTGCCTCCAAAGTGACTTGTATGTTAAGAAGAGGTTTGAGGAGATGTCCAGAATCTGTCAAATGCTGCTGGAGAGGGTGTTCATGATTTTTATCCATCCCAGAGCCCAGTGCAGGGAAGAGGCTGTGTCCCGGAGTGAAGGCCAATGTGTAGCCCCCCTTCCATCCTGTTCTGGGCGTGATGGGTCTAGTGGACGAAACTACACCATGCTGGCTTCAGTGTAGACATTTGGTGCCATCCTCCCACCTCCGTGTATTTACTGCAAAGGAACATCAGGAATTCTGAATCTCAAACCCTCAGCTACTGATGTACAGGGGACCCAACAACCTCTCATAGCTAAGTGGAGGTTAGTGGATATATGATTGAGTGTATTTCACAACATGTGCCCATTTTATTTTAATGTTCTGGAAAAAATTTTTCTAATATTCAAATTCATAATTTAATTTTAAAAGCATATAAATTCTGGATCAAATAAAAAATTAAATTGTAGACTGTAAAGAAAATAAAGATGTCGACCTTGATCCCATCTATTGAGATTTTAATCCACAGATTTTCAACAGATTTTATTATTTTTAAGAAATGGAAGTACAATTGAAAATATATGTATAAATAAATCACATACCATCACCATCAAATCGTTTAGGCTAGTACTACAAGCTGCATCAAATTGATGTATTTCACCAGCCAACCATAAAAGAAGAAAAATCACTCCGAAGTTGAGAATTGGTTGAATACATTTTATGCTTATGACACCATGTTACTTCTGAATTCTGATTAATTGTAATTGTTTTTTAAAAAAAACCTAAACATTCTAACGAATTTTATTGGAATTACTTTTCCGTGTAATAAAAAATAATACGATGCTGCACATAAATTTCCCAAGAAAATAACTTGGCTAGATATATTGAGTGTCTCCTCACAACCTAATCTAAAATGCAATTCTTCCCGCTGAATGTATTACACAAAGAGTTTGAAAAAAGGCTTTAAAAAACTAAATGAAAACAGTTCTTTGCAGAAAGTGCTATGGACTTGGGAGAAAATGCCAGTCAGCATAAATCAAATTCAAAACCTCATCTACCTAAATATGACGACCCTATAGGAACCCTTCTACCGTGTTTTCTCTAAATGTGGCTGCTTTAATTTTGTTCTTACCATTAGTTGGGTTTAAGTCATTATCTTCATTTACATTGCAAACAGACTTACACATTGTAAATACTCTTGATGAGCTTTAAGAATTAGTATTTTGGTTGTGTACTGAGTG